TGAATGAATAAGAAAAATAGAAATGGTAAATATGGAGTAGAAATTTAAAACAGGGTGATGTGCTCATGAGCTCTTGGGTGACTACTTTTGATGGGGTGGTCAGCCAAACAGAAAGAAGAGCTGGTGCAAATGCCCTGAAGTGGAAAAGAAATTGGCACATTCAAATCATGGACAAAGGGGAAGAGTGACACAAGTGAAATCAGAGAGGCAAGCGAAAGTGGAGTCATGCAGGGCATAATCCTTGGGGAAGAATTTAGATTTCCTTCCAACTGCAACAGGTGAGTTAAGGACGGGAGTGACTTCTCTGGCTCCTGCATGGAGAATAGATCTTAGGGACCAAGAACGGAAGCCAGAGACCAGTTAGGATGTTATTCCAGTAATGTGATGAGAAATGATGGTGGTTTGGATGAAGGTTTTAATAGCGGAGGTGGAAACATGTAGATATGTATGTACATTTTCCAATGTATTTTGGAAGTAAAATAGCAGCCTTTGTTGATTGATTATTAGGGGAGAGAGCAGTGAGTCAGAGAGGAACAAAGGGGAGCTGCAAGATTCTTGGCTTATGATAGGGGGAACGGTAGTGACATTTTCTGAGAAGTAAAGAACTGGGGGTAGTATTCTGGGATTTTCTCTGTGTGGCATATGCATGTATGTGAGCATGTGTGCACACACACTGGCATGGCAGGGACAGCAGCATTTGGCATCAAGGGTTTTGCACTAGTCATGCTAAGTTTGAAGTACCTATTAGACATCCATGTGGAGATGTCAGCAGACCACTGGATATTTGCAACTTGAGCTCTGAGATGAGATTAAAGCTGGAAATAAATACCTGGGAATTATTTGCATATAGATTACTAAAGGAAAAGAATGTAGATAAAGAAGAGAAAGAGACCCCGGGCAAAGCTCTGAGGTGCTTCAATATTTAGAGCTTCAGCAAAGAAAGAGGAACTGGCAGAGAACAACAGGACAGAAGGGCCTGTGAAGTGGGAGTAAAACCAGAAATTAAGCTGCTCCAAAGCCCAAAAGAAAAGCCTTCCAGGAGAGAAGGAGGGTTGGCCAGTGCTTTATTCTGAAAAATAAAAAAAAAAAAATAAATAAAAAAATATTTTCCTGACATGCCTAGGGAATGTTAGGCACATCTCTGCACTATCTCTGAATCTGGCACAAAATTCGTTCATTTGACTACTCCACAGTGGGTAATCTTCTCAGGCAGCTGCGCCTCCTCTAGTGGGGTCCCTGTATCTCACTCCTCTTGGTGCCCAGTGTGCAGGGCAGGGTCTGGCACATGGTACATGCTTGGCCACGTGTGCTAAATTGAATTATTCTGGGGTCACCCTTGGAGCTTGTTTTCCTTGCTGCCAGTCTGAGCAAGGTGCTCTGGGTACTTGGGAGACCGGCTAAGTATCCGTGGAGGCTGGTGGCCAAGGAGAGATTGAGTTAGGGGCCAGGGGCTTGTGCTGAGGTGTGGGTGCCGACAGCTCTTCCCCAATACTGGCTGACTGCACCTCCCCAATCTCAGAGCGGGGAATCCCCAAGTGCCTTCCACCTCGGGGCTCTATAGATTTTATAAGTAGACTCAGATCTGTGACTCTAGAAATACAGGAATCAAGTCAAATGAATAAAGAAAACAAGATGGAAATGTCAAGATAAAGATAACCTTGGCCAAACTGCTTTAAATCATTTGGTGCTGCCCAGGGACTGAGCAGGCCCTCCTTTCCAGAGGCCCAGAAGGGAAACATATGAAAGGAGGGTCCCAAACTCCTGCAGACGTCCTGACTCACAAGAAGTGCACACTCCAGAGCCTCGTGCCTCTTGAGCCAAACCAGCAGCACGAGCAGAATGGCTTGGAAGAAAATATATCCCACTGGATGGAGTGAATGTGACTTAAAGGAAGATCTGGGAGAAATTGCTGAAGTCCCTGATCTAGCTACAGAAAAGTTTAATAACTTATGTAAAGTCATGCACATACTTAGAATGCTGTTTAACATTCCTTTTCTCTGGGCTTTGTTTCCTCATTTATGAAAAAAGCCCTTCCTCCTCTAAGATCCTTCCAGCCCTAATGTTCTTTGACTTGGGAGAGTCCCGTTGCAGGGACCTGTGTTCCACCCCTAATTCACAGCTTGACTTTGGGCTGAAGTTACTTCTCCTGAGAGCGTGTGCTCCCACAGAGAAGCAGCATTTCCTGCCCAGGTGTGACCCAAAGACCCCAGCTTCTCCATCTGAGCGTGTTGGGCGTCACCCAACCTACCCAGGGAAATCTCAAGGTAAGAGGTGTTAGATTTCTCAAGGTAGGATCAGCCAGGAGTAATAACATTCTGTGGCATCTGCCCTGTGCTTTGTAGTTTACAAGGCTGCCTGGATTCAAATCCCAGTTCCACCATTTCCTAGTGATGTGCCCTTGGGTAAATGACTCTGTCTCTCAGTTTCCTCCACAATCATAATAGTGCCTACGTACATCTTCTTCCCTGAAGAATAAGCCTAAGCACTTAGAAAAGTACCTGGCATACAACAGTTGCTCAACAAATTATTAGTTGCCGTTAATATTAAGCACTTTTAGATGCTGAACTGCACTTGATCCTTACATTCTATTACTTAAGGCAAATCTGGACAAGATTCTAAAAGCTTTCAACATTTGCAATATGCGAAGACTCAGACTGAAGGTTTTCTGTCTAAACCCAAATGACCCTAATAATAATAGGCTAGTACATTCTCTCCAGGCAAAAAATGACTCACGGTTTGGCTCCCTTCTGGGTGGGATCTACGTAGAAGGGAGGGGTAGCTCTCAAACGAGAGTGGGGTGAGCTGAAGATGCAGAGAATCAAAAAATTGATGCTGGTAAGAGATTTAACTCTAGTTGTAGGCCAACCCTTTATTTCACTGATGGAATTATTTGGGACCAGAAAAATGAGCTGCCTCACAGAAGTCCTAGCTCAATATGGTGGAGGAGCTGGAGCTAAGGCCTGGGACTCCCTGCCCTCAGAGCTGCCAGTGCAGGTTCCCCACCCACAGCCGGAAGGGAGTGGAGGCCGGGGAGGGGCCATCCGCTCTCTCTGCTTTCTGAGGAGGGCTCAGGAAAGGCTGGTGGGGGAGGGAGGCAGAGGGATGCTGAGACTCACAGCAGAAATCAGAGCTCTGGGCCCTGACACCCTTCAAGGAGGCCCCTCAAATGAAGTGGTGACACCCTGGAATGTCCCCATGGGCCCATACTTGTCCCAAGATGATTATGTTAGGGATGACTTATGAAGCTAATGTAGGGTGGTAGCGTGAACCATTAACCAAGAGATCTGGGTTTTACTTCCAAATTCAGCTTAAAAGCCCCACCTTCCTGTTCCCAGGAAGCCGTCCTTGACAACTCCTTCCCTGAGTTCCCACAGTGCTTACTGTCTGAATCACCACACACCGTCCCGTGTCGCTAAGTAGCCTCCACTGATGGTGCCCCGACTCCCTGTTCCCAGACGGCACCAGAAGTGCTTCCAGTGGAGGGACTGGAGTCTTAGGGTTTCTGGTCTCTCCGCAGGTTCTAGCGTGCAGGACGATCATGGGAGGGTTATGCCGAAAGGGACCGACCCCCTGAAGCAGTCATTTTTTGGACCAATCATCTCCTTTGTGAAGCAGACCAAGGCCAGGAGTGGCATTGCCCCAATGATCAGAACAGGCTGCAATAGGATTTGGGGCCCAACCAAAGAACATACCAGGAAGAAGAAAAGACACTGATTTATGAGAAGCCAGGAAACAAATCCTTGGTGAAATAGCAGCGTCATTACAAAGAAAGGTGTATATGTGCAGACAAAGAAAGAACATCCTAAAATAAGCTTTCTCTCCTTCATTAAATCCTGGATCCATGTGACCTTGGGTGAATTATGTAAGCCTCACTCTCCTTCAGAGGGTAGGGTATGCTTACATCATTCAGTTCCATTGGTGGCTCATTGTTTATCTAACAGCTTTTCCCATTAACTTTTATTTTCATTAGTTACACTAGACATATTTCAGAAAAGTTGGACCCACTAATTCTGGGAATCACAAATAAAGAATATTTTGTATAGACTATCTCAAACTTAAACATCTGGAAATAAGATGCCATCTGCTGTCAGGTTATCTAGCTATCATGTGTGCACATGAGTGATTATGTGTGTGTGTGTGTATGTGTATGTATCCTTTGAAATGGATTAAAACAACCGATTATTGACGTGTGTGTAGTACATTATGTATATAGACACATAGATATCTATGTGTGCATACAGATATAGATAATTATTTTCAGTTGCCATCTGGTAATAACTTGGTATGTGATATAACTTTAAATAGCTGTAATATTATCTATTTTATGCATACATACAGCTATATGAAGTTATAGATATATGTCTATAAGTTTTATATAACATACTTCCAGTGGGCATCTATTATATATTACACATATATATGTATGCATAGATACATGTATATACATATATAGGTACATACATAGCACATGGCATATTTAAGGTTAGAGATATATATGCCAAATTACATATAAAGCTTATTATTTTCAGATGGAATCTAGAATAAACTTTTTATTCTATCAACCAAAGTGCATAAAAAGCATATATGCATAAGAGAAAATGTGTTGCTTTTCTTTAAGAAAGCCCATAAGTCATATAGTTTGCCCAAAATGAAATAAACTCATATTTATTACTGGGAAATCAATAGCTTAAGTATATATCTTCTAAAGTAGTGCAGGTTCTAAGGCCCCTATAAATTCAGGGCAGTTTCATGGGGCCCATGAGCCATAACTTTCATGGGTAGCAGATGTCATCCAATGGGGAGGTAAAGCAGACCATCAGACTCTGCAGACCCCTGAGAAGAGTGACTTTGGCTCTTGCTAGTTGTGTAATCAGCATCATCAGCGTTTCTGTTCTCAACCACTTTACTTGCCTCCCAATTCCTGTTTGGAGCTGGGTCCAGGGGCCGGCAAGAGCAAGAAGCTGCCCAGACTGGGTGCTCAGGAAGGGTCAGATACTCACCATACGCTATCACTGCCCCTCTGCATAGGTGTTCCATCGGCGTCATAGTATACGTCCACATTGAGGTTTCGGTCCGTGTCATGTGCTGAGTTGAAGTTGGTGATTACCCGAGAAGGAATCCCCAGTGACCGCAGTGCTGCAAGTCAAGGGGCAGGTGAGGACTCGGGCTGCAGTGGGGATGGGACCTCAGGTACCCTGCAGCTGCCCACCGACCCCTCAAAGGCACGTCCCACCCAGCGTACCTGTGTTGAGGGTCCCAGCAAAGACCCAGCACTGGCCATACTGGACTGGCCTGAAGCCAGTGCGTTTCCACTCCTTGAGGATCTCCACGCTGCCATTCCAGCTCCTTGGGTCCTGGCCACCAGTGTAGTTGCCACTCCAGTTCCCAGCGAGCACCCCACTGTCATCGTTGCTATTGACCTGGGCAGGAAAACCCCCAAATGGATCAGCACAGAGTTACAGGCAGAGTTCAGGGGATAACGGTGGGCTGATGAGGAAGAAAGCCAGGGAGCTGCTGAGTGCCTTTTCTGTATCTTTCTAGCTGATTTGGGAATAATAGTAATAATGGCCCCCGAGGGGCATAAGCAGTATATGAAGTTAAAATGCGTTGCCTAGTGGGCCATGTTTTGTTGCCCCTCACCCTCAACCCTGTGCAGCAGGCTCAGGCTGCTGAGCTCCATGGCTTGTCAATGGCAAGGCAGGGTCAGAAAACCAGTCTGCAGACCATTTCTTGCCACGACCCCCAGCTGTCACTCATGTCTGACTTGGGGGGCCCATGGCTTGAAATTCTCTTTTCTTTTATTGCTCTTCTAAAATGATCCTTTTAGAACTCTAGCAACTAACTTCTTCTAAGAAAGAATAATGGTGGCCTTCCATCCATTTATTCACTCATTCATTCATTCATTCAACTTAAGGCATGATTCTTGTGTAAGTAACAACCGCAGTGCTGTGTGAAAAGAGCACTGGGTGGGGAATCAAGAGACCTGAGTTCCACTGTCTTTTAGAAACACAAATTGAAATATTTATGGATAGATGATGTAATGTTGCTGAGATTGATCAGATAATCTGTGGAGGAGGGGGTCAGAAACAAGACTGGCCTGGAGCTGGTAATTGCTGAAGCTGGTGATGGCCACATTTTATTTTTCACTCTACTTTTGTGAACGTCTGAACCTTTCAATAACACTAAGGTAATGGAGAAATCGGGTTACCAGCCCTGCTTTGCTGCTTGTCAGCTCGGTGACTGTCGGTAGGTCAATTCACCTCTCTGGGCCTTAGTTCTTCACATTCCAATCCAGGGAAGGTAACAAACATGTGACCTCTCAGGTGGCTTCCAGCAGCCAAGTTTTCAGAGTTTAAGAGACTTGGACCAGCAATTATGCCAATTGTATAATGAGAGCCTGGGCCAGGATCTCCCAGGGCTCTCCCAGCCTGTGAGCCCTGTGCCCTCTCTTTGTGAAGGTGGCAAGGCCTGTGTGAATGGACAGTCTGGAAAAGGAAGGATCCTTGCCCGAACAGGCTGACCCAGCCTTCTACGCTGCGTGGAAGGCCTGCACTGTCGTCTCAGGATCAGACAAGTTGGGGCCTCCTCCAGGATGGAAGATGGTGCAGCCCATCGCCGTCTCCTGAGTCATAGGCACTCCAGACACCAGGGTGGTAATCAGCAAGGTCATATCTGGCTGAAAGCTGAGTGTTTCAAAGCCCTGCACAGGCCATAATTAGCTTATGGCCCAGCCCCACCAAGGGCTGGAGAGCAGCAGGGAGGTGCAGCTGAGGAAATTGGTGCTGAGCTAAAGTGGCTTGTCCTGAGGTGGGAGTGAGTCAACCTCACCCAGCCTCTCCTGGGCCGAGGAGGCTCTGCTCCATGAGGCATGCTAAACGCCAGCTTCCCTTAACCGAGGCCTCAGCAGTAATCCCAGGCCACTTGGTTTTCAGGGTTCAGCCCAGGCCCACTTCCTTTCTGATCTTCTGGCTGCTCTGCTCTCTCCCCTCTCTTCAGTGCCTTCCCACCCCCTGGGCCTCTCCTTCTCTTCCTGCAGGTCTCCATCATACTCTGTACTTCCGGGAAGCCCGCTCTGATTACCCCCAGGTATTTCTCATGCAGTCAGAAGATTGTTCAAGTTTCTAACCACACAATGAACTCCTTAGCTTGGATATCCAACTCAAAAGTAAAGAAACTGAGAAATGCCTAGTTCATTAACAACAATGAAATGTTGCCTCTTCTGGGTAATTATTTAGCTTCAGAGAATTTAAGTTCAATAATTCTCTAATTCTCTAATTTGTATTTTTTTAATTTGTAACTTTTGAGCAAGTTGATCTCATGTTTGGACACTTCTGATGGAGGGGTTCTCTTCACACTGAGTACAGAGAGATAGATTCCTCCAGGATCCAGCTTGTGTGTGTGTGTGTGTGTGTGTGTGTGTGTGTGTGTGTGTGTGTGTGGCATGTCTCTCACATGGAGGGACTGGGTGAGTGAAAGGGGCCCTGGGCAGGCAGTTTGGGGCCTTGTTCTAGTCTGACTCACAGGCCATGTGTTGTAAGCAAGTCACTTCAGCATCCTGGGCTTCGGTGTCTCCAGTAAGATAATGAGGGGGTTGGCCCCTCCCAGTTTGTCTGCTATGGAGGGGATGGAGCAAAGCCAGGGAGGTTACCACTTCAAGCTCTCTCAGGAGCTTGCACCCTTCCCCAGAAGGCCCAGTGATGGAGCACTATGGAGGGGATGGAGCAAAGCCAGGGAGGTTACCACTTCAAGCTCTCTCAGGAGCTTGCACCCTTCCCCAGAAGGCCCAGTGATGGAGCAGTCTCAGCTCTGCCCCTCCTGGCCCTGGTGGGCACCAAAAGGGCAAGTTCCCTTGTCATCTCAGAAGGGCCTTGGGTGCAGTGGAAAGGGCTTTGGAACCAGGCAGACCTGGGTCCACCTCTGTCTCTGCCACTTCCTCACTGCATGTCTCGGGCAAGTCCTTTGTTTTAGAGGAGCCTTATGCTCCCCATGTACAAGGTGAGGTTAACATCCCCCAACTGCGTTCTCTGAGGCTTCAGCAAGATGACATGGAAAGAGCATGTGTACCAACCCCACGGGTGGTTTTGATATGTGGTAACAAGTTATCATGGTTGTTCTATTACTCACCATTGCACTCAGCACCCGGCCAACGTATTTGGGGTCACCTCTGCGGGCCACATCAGTTGCAGGGTCACGGCGGAAATTCAGACTTTTATCCAGGACTGTGAGGCAAATGCTCAGAATGTCTTCTTCAAACTGTACAAAATGAGACCAGATGTTGCGATGGAAGAAATGACAGGTAGTGCTGACTAATGAAGGGCATGGGAGCTGCACTGGCGGGAGCCGTGGGCACTTCCCAGGTCCTTTCACTGCAGGGCCTCCAGAAGCAAGAGCTTCCGAGGAACAGCCACCACCCCCCCTTTAACCCAGCAAACTCATCCAATGCCCCCACAGTACAGGAGGCCCTGTGCTGGGCCCTGAAAGGGAACAGGGCTCACTCACTGACGTGAACTTGGGAGTAAATCCCTTAACCTGTCTAGGCCTTGATTTCTTCATTTGTATAACAAGGGATCAGGCCAAGCCCATCTCAAAGTTTCCATCTAGCTCTATGATCTGGAGACTAATCATAAAGATAAAATATCTCGTTAAATGGCGGTATTTGAAAACATTTTCACAAGATGAGATTTATTTTTCGCCATAGCTTCTTACATGGAGACGGCCAGGCTTTCTCTTGCCTTAGGGTCTTTGCATGTACTGTCCCTCCTGCCTGCAATGCTTTTCCCCAGGGTAGCTGTGTGACTCCCTTGCCTCCTTCAGTAGTCTGATCAAAGATCCCATCCTAAGAGATGCTCTCCCAGACCATGCCATGAAAAACAGCTCCCTTCCAGCCCTACGTATGCTCTAGCCCTTACCTCCCCCCAACCTTCCCCCAACTTTTTTTTTCCTCTCAGTATAATGTGACAAGACACCCAATATATAAAATATATAGTAGACTTGCTCTGGTTGACTAGAGGATGAGGCAGATGGCCGCACCCTCCCCCAGGGGACCTCATTCTAATGCTTTCCTTTGTCTGCTGGAAAAAAGAAAAGGTGGGGACTCCCTGTATGTTTTCTAGGCTCAGTACACCTGGGAACTCTGTGGACTCAGATGGGGGTCAGAGGATGAGGGACCGAGAGGCTATGGCTTCAAAAGGCCAAATGTTCCCACCAAGGAAGTTCCATCACATCCGTACATGGAGTGAACAACAGAAGCTATGTTAGTGTCCCAGGTGTCTCTACTGGGCCTTACCCTCCTTTGGTACCATGGTACCTTAATACTGCATTGCATCAATTTAGTTATATGACTGTTTTTCCCACTAGATCTTGATGTCCTCAAAGACAGGACATCTGTCTTTTTTTTTCCCCCATTTTATTTAATTTTATTTTTTTATTTTACTTATTTAATTTTTTTATTTTGGTATCATTAATCTACAATTACATGAAGAACATTATGTTTACTAGGCTCCCCCCTTCACCAAGTCCCCCCCACATACCCCTTCACAGTCACTAGGACATCTGTCTTATCCATCTCCTGTGTCCTTAGTGTGGCACACAGTAGTTGGCCAATAGATTCATTCATTCTGAATGAGTGCATAAATAGAAGGGCAGGCAAATGGACATATCTGGGAACTTCCACTTCTCTGTGGGACCAGTGCTGAGGTTCTTGGGTAACAGGAACATTACTGCCAACCTCCTGATGTCCCTTTTACCTGTCCAAAGTTCCAGCCAACCACACCAATTCGATTTGAGCTTCCCACATAGATGATGCCAGCATCTTCCTGAACGTACTCCTCTCTCTCAGCATGGTTACTCATAAAGACACTATCCTCTGTTTGACATAAAAATCAGGTATCAGGGACTGGAATCCTACACAGTCATCCTCTCACTTGGGAGTACTGGCCTGGAGGCTGGAGCAAGCCATGCCTGCAGCTTTCCCCAACCTCCACTGAGGAATGAAGCCTGAGGCTATAATGCTTCCAGTTCATGTTGCGGGAACTCTGAGCTTGAAAGAGAAGCTAAAATGACCTGAAAGTCTGGAAATGAGACCCCAGGAATGAAATACTTGCTCCTTCAGGCAGGAAGCTATCTTCATACTGTGGTCATTGTCCTGTACAATTACACCGTACTAGGCAGTTTGTAAAAGCTCATGAGATCCCTGCAATAGTCCCAAAGGAAAGGGCAGGATATCCATTTAATGGTGAGGAAATTGAGGCTCAGAAACTTAGAGTATCTGCCTAGACTCACATAGCTGATTAAGTGCAGAACTGGGAGTCCAACCCAGGGCTTCTCTCATCTTGCTTCGATGCTTTGTCCATATCCCCCATGTTTCCTAATCAAACCTGAGCCTAATGAAAATCATTCCCCTAACTCCTTTCCATGGGCGTTGCTAGGTGGGTGGCTGGGAGTGAGGGTGGTTAGGTACCTACCTTGTGACCAGGGGTTGAAGAGCAGTATGAATTTCCCAAGTTTCAGAATGACGTCTTTGCCCCCAGAGGAGATCTGGATGTTCAGCGTGTACCATCCTATGGGGGCACTGGCAGGACTGAGGACGGAGACGGTCAGAATGTTGTCTTTGCTGTCCAGGAGCTGTGCGCTCCAGCCGCCAGCACTCGTCCCACTGGAGAGTGGAAACACAGCCTTTGTCCTGGCTGACTCTGAGGGGTTCGGCCCTGTGAAAGCAGACAGGACAATGGAAACCAAGAGGTGCTGGCCAGACTGTGGGGAGAGGTCAGACTCCAGTAGCACCGAAGGGGCCTTTGGGGGACGACATCTAATGAAGCACCACACTACAGGGCTGGAAGCAACTGGAGAGAACATGGAGGTCAAATCCATCTTGATTTGGACACAGGATCAGAGAGAGGTGGAAATTTGCCCAAGGTCACACTAAGTCAATGGCAGAGCTGGGCTAGAGCCCAGAGCCCAGTGACCACCCCAGTGTCACCAACCACAACCCCCTGGATGCATTGTCCCAAGGGCTACTCAGGTGTGTTTTGGGGGCTGGTAGGCAGGTACCTGTGGAGACTATGAACCCCACACGTTCTCCATCGCCAAGACTTCGGTTCAAGAACAATAAGAAACTGAAGGGTTGGTTTCTCCGCACGATGAGCTCCTGGCTGTAGAACTTGTCCGTGTGATGTGCCTGCCGGTTGGAGGTTGTCTGCCAGTTGATATCCTTGGGTTCTAAAGCTGTGAGACAGACAAGATGACCTGAGGTTCTGCAAGGAACCGTGGCAGGGAGAAAAGGGGGAAGTTACCAGAGGGACAGAGCTGGGTGGGGCTCATCAGGGAGGAAAGAAGCTCATAGAAAGGATCACGATAAATTCAAAGACCTTGGCCCAGCAAAGCAAGTCCTTCACAACCTATTCCCACCCCGGCCTTCCAGGCAGCTGGACCTCTGCACACTCTATTCATGCTGCTGAGAACATCTTCCTCCTTCACTTGGCCAACTGTCACTTGGCCCTCCAGGAACAGGCTGTGTGCTCAGCTCACCTAGAGCAGGTGGGGGGCTACCTCTCTCAAGCCCACCACCTGGACTGGGCTTGCTTTCCCCTTTGCATCTGCCCAGACATCAACTGCCTTTCACCTCTCCAGTATCCAGCAAATGATTACTTTTGCATTCTTTACTATCTCTGTATGTGCAAACCTCGGCATCGCTGGCTTAGGCCCCTGATGCTGGAGAGGATAGCATGTCTCTGAGAAGCATTTATAGGCCAACTAGGATATAGGAGTACACAAGAGCAGGTCAAAGGCCCATTGGATTTTTGGATAGGACCTTGAGGACAAACACCCCAATTCCATCCTCTTGCCTTTTTTCTCATGTAACTGTGAGGGTGAACTGAGAAGGGTTTATGAGAGTCAGTGTGAAGTCTGGGGAGTTCAGCTTCTATAAACCTTTTAAGAAATTTTATTCCTTTGAGCTTTGTTTGAGATGTTCCATCTCTCATTCCTCTGCAAACCAAACTGGTATTTATGATGAGGCCAAAGCTCTGATGGGGACGTCCCAGCACCAGGTATAACTATTTTTTATATGTGTCTGCCTTCTTGTTCTATATAATTACTCAGATACCTAGCACCTGGCTTGACTGTATTAGAACAATTAGGTAATTAGATGAACAAACAAAAAACTAACATCATGCAATGACCATGTAACTACAGTTCAAAATTTAGTCCATAAGGAAAGGTGAAGATGGGGCATTCATTCTATTAACATATATAGAATTCCTATTATTTGTGGGACACCGTGTTAGGCACAATGTTGGCAGGTATGCAAGTGTATGAGAAGCAGTTTTAACCCTCAGAGAGCTTCAGCAGTGGGTAGGACAAGCACCAGGAGAATGGATGAAGGAATGGGTAAATCCAATCTACCTATACAGGGTATCTAGGAGAGGCAGGCAGGAAATAATTGGTTTCAATTGTAGGGATCAGAAAAAGCTTCATTGAAAATGCTGGGCCTTGAAGGAAGAGAGTATTTTTGTCAGGTGCAGGTCAAGCAGCCTGCCTCGCAGATGATGGGAGGAGAGGCCCAAGACACCAGAGAGCAGATGAACTATTTGGCTAACACAGAAGCTCTGCGCAGAGGAGAAGGTGAGGTGGGAGAGAGTGTGGCTCCAGGGCTGGCTCCAGGCTAGGGCTGCCACCCAAGCAGTTTTGCAGATGGGCACATGCTCATCACAGATACTCTCTCACGGGAAATGCAGACTCTCTGGGGTGGTTAGCCAAAGACTGCCACTGGAGAGGGGGATTCAGGAAATGACCCTTTACTAGCTCAGGGTACTAAAGATTCATTCATTCACATCTGCTCATTCATTCATCCAACAAATAGTTAATGACAGAAAAAATTCGTTTCTGCACAAATTCAGGAAATCTAAACCATTTGCGCAATCAACAAGTATCTATTGAATAAAGAGAAGGGCAAAGGAAGGTAAGGAGGGACATAGGGAAGGAGGAAAGGTGAATGGTCCTGTATATAAATATCGAATAGGGACAGCCCAGAACCTAGGTACTCTCTGGCAAAGGGCAAGTTCTACATGGCCTGTATAGAGCTAACTTGCTAGATGTTAGCTTTCTAGGGCAATAGTCTCACTTTTTAAAATCCGTGCCTCCTACCAACCTTGCTCAGTACCTTCTGTGCATCCCTGCCAGGTGAGATTTCGTAGAGCTTTACTCTGTCTTGCTTTAGAAAACAGAAGAGCTGTAAGGAACATGTGGTTTCAGATCACAGAAGTCTCTCTAGTGATTCTTTATCCCCCTTCCAATCCAAAAGGATGCATTCTCTTCTCCCCCAAGTGAAGCTCACTATTCTAGACCATGAGCTCTTTGAGAACAGAAAGTATGTCCCCAGACAGCCCTCTGCCAAGCATAGGGGTAAAGGGAGAGGTGTGGCAGATGCTGCATATCTGCAGCTGGCACCTGCCTCCTTTCCAACAGACCCACATCCTTCTTTGCTCTGCTAAGGGTTATGCATTATTTGTTGTAGGTGTGTTGATAGTAGAGGCTTCTCCCTTTCATCCTGGAGACCAGTGAGTTGTTTGTAGGGAAAAGGACAAAGAAAAGCTGAGCTCCAGGGTGCCTTGGCTGCAGAGACTCTGAAGGACATGAGGGGCACTTCGAATGCCCCAGTCGCTGAGGCCCTGGGTGACTGCAGTGGTCATCTCTGCATTTCCTGGCACCATGCATGTACCATGGCACATAGGAAGCTTGCTCCTCATTGGGGTGCTTGTGGGATATGCAAGGCTTCCCTGAGCTGGAGGGTGAGGAAGGATTCTTGTTTGTCAGCAGTCTACCATATGTCAACTGCTTTTAACAGCATACAGAGTGCTTTACATGTATCACTGATGAGATCCTTGCAGAAACTACAAATGGACGCTCAGAGAGATAAATGTCTCCTTCGAGGCCATACACCTGGCAATTGGCAGGGCCAGGATTCTGAGCCTGGGTCCTACTGGCATTCTCCTGTTGCTGTGGTTCCTGGTTCTCCACCTGGAAGGGGGACCCGTGCAGGACCTTCAATCCAAAAGGTACCCAGGTGATGAGGGGCCCTCCCTATGCATTGTTCTCCTTACTGGCCATTTCTATTCTGACAAAGAGATGAGAGTGAGCACCTGGAAGGAAAAGGTATGCTCCAAAAGGGCATCCTACCTGGGAGGTGAGTGAAAGGGGAGTGACCCGCCTCTGCTTCCCTGGGCGGGGCTGCCAGGTTGAGGGCATGCTCATAACGCCTTCAGTGTGGTATCTGAAAACTTTCTCCTTCCACTGGCTGCTACCCACAGTCTTCGTCCTGCCTCTGAACTCTAGGATTGGCTCTGTCTAGTCCCCAAATCAAGGATCTGGTGGTCCTGTGTGTGAGTTATCTGGATTCCTTTCCATGGCCCCCATCTCCTGATGTAGCAGCGACCACAGCCCCCTCTGCCAGACTGTGTCCTGGATGGCAAAGGTCAGAGCTGGGGGCAGCACACAGCCGTCTCAGATGCTCCTTGCGTGTGCAACTGCAGGGGTGTGTATGAGCCTTAGGGCGGGGTTCTCAGCAACAGCCTGGGTGAAGAGAGCAGCATCGCTCCTACAATTGACTCATCAATGTAAGTCAGAGGGAAAGGAACAGAGGAGACAGATCACATGCTTCCCACCCTTATTCTGGAGCTGTGAGGACATGGAGGCCTGGAAGGTGACTTGCTCACACTGGGACAGCTCTGGGCTCTCATTCTAGTCATCTCCCAATTCTGTGCCATCTCCCTGCATTATAGCTTGACTCCAGTGTCAGTTAAGGGGCAATTTCTCCAGTTTTTTTTCCTGAGAATATCAGTGCCACCAGCAAATCCTAATGTGACAGAGACTGCTAAAGGTCTTTCCCAATGTTCACTCACTCATTCTTTAATGGCAATTAAACCCCCATGTTAATGGGCACTGCATGTCCCAGCCTCCCCTGCCTAGGGGAGTGGAGCAGGTCACGTAAATGAATTCTGCCAAGGATTTTTCGGTAGAAGGTGTCTGTATTGACTGCCAGGAAACCTCTCTCTCTCTCTTTTTGAATTGAGGTAGAATTTCCAGAAAGTATACTTCACCATTTTAACCATTTTAAAGTGTATAGTTCAGTGGCATTTAGTTCATTTATAATGCAGTGCAGCCAACACCATTATCTAGTTTTGGAACTTTTTCATCATCCCCAGAGAAACCCCCTCCCTACCTGTAAGCAGTCACTTGTCATTCACCCTTAATTCCTGGCAACCACTAATCTACTTTCTGTTCCCAAGGATTTGCCTATTCTGGACATTTCGTATGAAAGGATTCAGAGAAATGTGTGAATTCACTGGTTTTTCTCACTTGGTATAATGTTTTTAAGGTTCATCCATGTGGTGGCATCTATCAGTACTTCTTTCCTTATAGGGTTATTTTCTATGGCTGTATGGTATTCCATTGTATGGCCATACCATATTTTGTTTATTCATTTACCAGTTGACAGACATTTGGACCATTTCTACCTTTTAGCTCTTGTGAATAGCGCTGCTGTGAATGTTCATTTGCAAATATTTGTTTGAACATCTGTTTTCAAGTCTTTTGAGGAAATCTCTTTTTAAAAAGGGCAAATGCCTTTAGCTTACTTACCTCCCTCTTCTTCCGTCCTGATGCCTGGAGTGTGGGCATGCTGTGCACAGAGCTCTAGTAGCCATCTTAGCCATGTAGGGCTGTACCCTGAGGATGGCAGAGAGGGTGCCTGCACAGACTCTGGGCCCCTGGGGATTGCCCTGTTCCTTAGCTGCCCAGAACTGCTTACATCCAGATCTGTTATTTAAGGAGCAAGCACACTTTAGTCTTGTTTATGTCTCTAAGCCATTGTTATTTGGGGGTTCATTGTCATTCACAGCCAAACCTGATCATGTTTACCTGGAGTGTGACCCCCCAACCACTTATTCTGTGGTCCACCACTGGCAGAGGTAACATGAGAAGCACAGAGCAGACTCCAGACTGTGAATGGGAGGTCATGAGGCCGCTGTGTCAATCCTTTCCAGCCTGACTTTGTAATCAAATCACCTGCAGCAGACTGGTGAGTGTAACCTGGTTACTGGGTATGTGACTGGGGTTTTCACCTCTTGTTCCTGGGAGAACCACCCAATCCAGGGGCTGGCAGGTAGCCCAGAATTACATCACTGACACTCCAGTGGCTGGGCACCCCCCCCCTCACCTGTCCAGAG